TAAATAAAAATCATTTGTTTCTAAATTAACCGTTGTAAATATTAATATATAAAAGATATTATTTGTTTGAACTACTCGTATTTACAGAAAGTTCAATAAATTATTTTTAAATTGCAATTAATATTAAGTTTTCACCATTAACAGAGGTTAAGACATTGGCATTCCAAAATTACTCTAAAATGCAAATTATTAAAACTCCAAGACAACGGGCCTTTATTCTATGAGAGAAATAAAAAACAATGTCAGAATCAAATTGGAATTGGATTATGTTTCCGACAATCTTGCATCATCATTAATATTAATAAAATGTTAGAAAACTGAACTCAAACGTGATCGTACGAGTATTTTTGTTGAAGTTGTTTTATGAAATGAACATAAGATTAATACGTAAAAGGTTCTCATAACTGTCTAGTAAACAGAACTTACAATGAATTAATTATCATGTTTTCTACTATTCAAACAATTTAATTTTCAATTGAAACATTTCAAATCATTTCTAGTAATAAGAAGAAGATTTCATAAAAACATTTTGTGGTTCAACTAAGCACAAATATTTATAAATATTTATCTATTTTGTTAAGGAATTGGCAAAAAGGCAATTTTCTAAATAAAAGAAACACGGTTGAAATTTGAAAGAAAAATATAACAAAACTGAAAACTATTTTTTAGAAATTGAACATTTCGAAAGTGCTGTAATATAGCACAATCATGCTTAAAAATATAAGAATTTTTCTATGGCTATATATATAATCATATAATATCCGTTGGTGTGACATTTATTTTACAGTTTTCATATATTCACATAGAGCAACGCATCGTGAAAGTGAAATAATAGTGCTTCCAGAATAAGAAATTATAAGAGAAGTCTTTTATATTTCAAAGTAAGCTTAACGAATGTTCTTAGCAAGAACTCGTATAGAAGCTCATTTAAGAAGGGATTCCCAATTCAAAAATAATTCAAAATTTATGTGTCTACATTCATAAACAAAATCCATTATATTTTGTGTAAAGTGATTCGAAATATTTCAGCGAGTGTTAAATTCGAAACCAGTCTATCTCCTGATCTCAATATCAAAGTTCACATGATAAAACTCTGTTCATATTCCAAATTGTACAAAATCAAACTACTATATCTTTTTGCAGCCATATTAACTTAACAATGTTGTATTAGTTTTCATCGTTTTTAACAAAAATATTCAAATAAAATTTGGAGGAGAATGTATTTATATTCTTAGGAATGAGAAACTATGTTATTAAGATTGAGTGAAAACTGGTGTATTTAATATTATTTTCAATATATATATTTTAAACTTAGAGCTTAGAGGTTATTTATAAAATAAACGATTGAAAAGAGCATAAAATCTAAAGCAAGTTGTTGTGACGAGATGGAACAACCCGTATTTTTTGATTCAACATTATAATCAAACAAATATTAAGACCAAAAGTTCCTTTAAAACTTTAATAGCTCACCGAACATAAGATTGAACAAATAATTTATAGCAACTGTTATACAGCTGTTATATATTATACTTTTATATATTTCATATATATTATTATATATTATAATATGTATTTGTCATCACATATTATATTAAGTATATGTTATCGTATGATTGAAACCTCGATGTTAATTGAAAAGTGTGGATAAAAGGAATTTATGGTATATGACAATGGTAAAGTTACCATATTTACTTGCTTTTATTAACTTTTTCGTGTAATACCAATGGCCTTCATATATGAAGTATATGAAATACAGAAATATTTGTGTGCAAAAAGCTTTCGGCAAGATGAGTACCACGTTTGCTCAGAATTGACCAAAAACGACCACTCCGTCATTCAAAGTAGTGTTTGGAAATGTGACAATTGATGATACATGGATCTATTCTTTCACACATGAGGAAAAACAACAAGCCAGAGAATGGTGTAGAACCCCGGGGTACTGCACCTAAACAACCACGAACTCAATAATCGTCTGGAAAAGTTTTGATTTTCGTTTTTTGGGATTCAAGTGGAATAGTTTTCATAGACTATTTGGATAAAGGAAAAACAATAATATCATACTACTATAGCATATTATTAGATCAATTGAATGAGGAATTCAAAAGAAAATAACCACATTTGTCCCAGAAAAAAATTTAGTTTTCGCAGGATATCGAACCCATTCACACGTCTGTGAAAACCATGGCAAAATTAAATGAATTACTTGAAGATGAATCCAAGGAAAGAGATTTGTATTAAATGACGAAGTAGAATATGAAACTGAGGTATATTTTAAAGGACTTGATAAGTCCTGTTATTTAAAAGATATCCAAATGTTGAAAGATCGTTGAATTTAGTTTGAAAAGCTAAAAAAAGACTTTATTCAAAAATAATTTTTCAAAAACATTCGTTGTTACTAAGAGCGGGTATTTATCAATTCACTTAGTTAATGTATTGTGATTTATGATAACATTGAATTGAACTTTGACTGAGAAAAATCTGATTCTTCTTTTCTTTGAAGCATTTTCCAATTATCTTTACCATATTTGCAAAAGATTTAAGAAAATGAATATTATCTTGATGTAAGTACTACTCCTGATATGTTTCTCAATCCTCCTTATTCTGATGCTGTAAAAAAATAGTCGACTCATTCAACAGATTCCAGCATCATCAGTTGGTTAAGCTAATAAGTTAAGATA